GGCTGAAAATCGCCAAAAAAACACTTTGCTTGAAAACTTCTTGCGGTTTGTTTTTCTTGCACTGATGTTGCTCAACAGGTGGAGATTGCACACGAGTCTGTAATATCGCTTGTTTACTGAATCTGGATACCTTCTGCTATCTCCTGTTATCTTTTCAAGCAGAAATCTTAACTAAAAAAACAAAAAAAAAACAGCATCCACAGAGATCTGCAACTAGAGCCCTGCATGATTTATTAACCATTTCAGGCTCGATCACATTTCAACAACAGAATATTTAACTTGTTTTTATCAATAATGGACTTAAGTGAGCAATCAATTGTAAAGTTTACAGCCTGGACTGCTTTAGCCTCTTGAGATTAATGTACACACACACGGACTGAGCCGCCTTTGTTCCTATACGTCTGTCTGAGTATATGAATAACACCAGCAGTCGCAGCGCTGTGCAGTCTGTACTTGCAGCAAGTGCTTTGTTTATGCCAAGAAAGTCAAAGTAATGGTGACGTTTGTTAGTATCATGGCGCTTCTTTAACTATTTACATACCTAGCTAATGAAGAAGGAGCACAAACAACCAGCTGAGGGTCACTTCCACCTGAAGCCAGAGAGGGAGTGATGATGGCGAAGTTTGGAGCTGGTCAATGATTTCCTCCAGGGATCGACTCCGAGGCTCCGCCGCGTGAAATGAGCCGTTTTCGCCGAAGCCTCCCGCCGCATTGGAAAATGTATATAAAGTAAATGTCACGGGCAATGGGAGGCGCTGACAGGTAGAGAGAAAGGACTAAACAAACTCCAGGGTTACTAAGTGAAAGACAGCGAGAGGAGGAGGAGGTGCAGCAGCAGCAGCGTGAGAGTAGGTCAGCGATGTCTGCGAGGAGTCGGTACAGGCCAAGTGTGTGAATGGAAAAAGCAAAGCTGAGCAAACATCAGCAAGAATCCCACCTCGCATAGGATAATAATGAGTTTTATATGTTGGTGTTATATTCCATGTGTAATTGGTGTTGCTGTGCCAACACCTCAAACAACACCTCAAACAAAAACACCTACAGAAAACGGTCCACCATGTGAAAACACGTGTTCCTGAATCAGTAGATACTGAGCAGGAGCTTCACTTCAAATCACGGTTTGTGATATTCTGTTTTTGGCACCGATATGACACCTGTTGTTCTGAAGTTTTAACTAGTGGCCTTATTAATGTGAATAAATCATTTGTTTTGTCATGTAGCTCAGTTACTAGCCACACAAAGCTGGAGTTAGTAATCTGTGAAATGCTTTTCCTGGATATTCTGTGAGCCAAAAATATTTTATCGATATATTCAAGCACAAAAATCCCAACATTTTCTGAAATCTCTTTTTTTTTGTGCCATTTTTTACTCGGTAGTTAAAATTGAGAGTGACATGAAATGTAGGGAGGAGAGCAGGGGAATGACAGTCAGTATAAATCTTTGTTTTTTTCTTTCTTTTTGCCTTTTTTTTTGCCTTTATTTATTACTGTAGCGGAGAGAGACTTGTGGGAAAGGAAAGCAAGCGGATGACACACAAACTGGGAACTTGCAGCTCGAAACGTGCTGAAACCATTTGGCTGTTGAGTCGACAAAAGTCTGAAAAGCTGCCGTGTTCCTTTTTTTTTTCATTCACTTTTTCACTTTACTTCATTGATAAATCAAAACAGGATGCAGCATTAGTGATCCGTTAAGTCATCCCTACACAGGTTTTTGTTCTTTCCCTGAATCCTGGAGGTCACATCAGTCTGAAGAGGATCAATATTTCATAGAACTATCAGATTCACTGAGCTGTCGGAGAAAACAACAGACTTTCTTTCGACATTTCCTCTCCCCATTGTTAGAAGAAAACACCAGTGATTTCCAGAATATTTCGCTTCGTAATGATTTGGGGGGATTCAACCAATGAACTGTTGTCCAATTCTTTTTTCCTCTAAGTGAGTTGAATGAGTTCATTCCTCAGCAAACAGCCGAATGATAGTTTTTTTGTTTTTTTGCAGATCACCATATTGGAATGTGTGACTCTTTTTGTGTGACAGCAGGGGTCACAGTCTTGCATCCAGTCAAAATATTATCCTCCAGCAAATTCAAACGAGATTAAAAATCATCAACTCTTCACTTGCGAATGGTTAAAAAAGTAAATCCACTTGTCAATAGTAGTTTTTTTTTTTTTAAACGACAGAAGCAATTGAGGCCGCGTACATCTGTGATACTATTTGACTGCTTTCTGGTCTACCACAGAGTGGAAACATCGGCCCGGCCAGTAGATCCTCTTCTCTGGAGATGTGAGGAAGTATTTCCCTGCTCTGGGCTCCACACGTAGCCCTCAGGCTGTCTTTGTGACTCGCTAGAAATATGCCTTTGTGTAAAAAAGCCACAGAGACAGTAGCGCTAGATCAGTGTCATGTCATCTTTGGCCTCCCTCCAGACCATCTTTTTGTCTCAGACGTCACACAGACGGTTGAGGCCTGTCACTCTAATGGCCTCTTGTCTTGGCAGGCATGCGGGCTTTTGGAAGAGCCGACGCCGATACGTGTTACTATGCGTGTCTGTCCGGAGGAATGTGCGCGTCATGTCGGTGGTATTGGGTAAATTAAGACCACCGTTTGGCAGTTGGGCGTCTTTTTAAACCCACACATGGTGCAAATTCAACAAATATTTGTGTCTTTTTCAGGCATATACAGTAGTGGACTGCTTCATTTTCTTTATTAATCTTCCCCACTGATGTTTGAAATGCTCTCAGACAGGTGCTCCACGTGGCGCCATCACTCAATCCCCGGACTGCTCGCTTGCCAGAGAAATGTTGTGGAACGGTTGTCAGTCAAACGCATACCGGGTCAGACGGACGTGTTTGTTTTGGGGCTTTGAGCGCGTTCCCTCGGCATCGTCATCACAACGTTTTTTAACAAAGCATGAAACAATTAAGTGGAAAATGTCGGCGTTGTCATGCGTTGCGTAAGCCTTGTTCTGTGCGCCTCAAACTACACTTTTTAAAAAATTCTCTAAGTGTGTCGGGAGAGCAATTTCTGTCAAGACGCAGCTTGCCAGGTTTCCATTTGAAATTCATAGCTGTCAGACGAGTTAAGAAAAAGGCAAACACGCTTTGTAAAGTGGAAGCCGTTTCACCCAATCTGAGAGCAAACCCTCGCGACTCCTTTTTTTAGATTCCCAACCAGAATGCAAATATCGCGTAGCATCTGCGAGCTATTAAGTCCGCTGATATGAAGCTGAGGGCTCGGGGGGAAACATTTCAGTCAGTTATTGGACTTAATAAAACAAATCTCTTGTTGAAGAACTCCCGTGACCTTCTGTGAGAGGCCGGAGTGAATATGAGTGGTGACAGAATCCTCTCTGACAAGCAGTAATGACGTCTAACATGCAAGTAATGCGGATCGACACTTGTGATGCATTAACTAACCTGGTGCGGACATCCAGCAGATGCTCTGCACCTTTACAAAAATATTATACGGTATTTTTTTTATTTATACCGCTTGGCCGTATTTAACTACGTGGCAGGATTCCCATTCGCTGCGGCTGCTCTTCACAGTCGTATACTTGGACTTCTTTTAATTTGCTTGGCTTTGTGCGGACTTTTTACAACCGGGGCAGAAAGAACAACAATTCACGATTGTTGTCTCGCTTAATGTGCACATTTTTAGTCCAGGTTTACGTTGAAATGACGTGAAATATGACAGGTTGTGTTGTCATTTTAAATAATAGACTCTGATTGTGTCACTTTTCTTTCAAACTAAAAGAACTTGTCCTGCCGGTAGCTGTCATGTCTATCCATCAGTCAGTGCATTTTTACAAGGATGGAGAATCAACACTTCAGCCTGCAGTTTTAATCCTTCATCTTCATCAGAGTCATTGATCAGCGAGGTGTCAATTCATGCACACGAGTCGTTTAGAAGTCCTGCAGCGACACGCGGGCCTGAGGACTTTGTGAGTTCTGTAAATCCATTTATTCTTCAGTTTCACTTTAAGGGTGTAAAGGAGGCCAGAAATTACACATAATGAACAAGTACGGTGCCAATCCTGTCAGTTGGTGTGACCAAAATGGTCGCAGGCTGACAGTCGTGTCCCCTGTGTGTGTGTTTATGAAAGTAATGCTCTGCTTTCCCCATCACAACCTCAGAACGCTGGTCGTAGGTTTTGCCAGCTATGTGGTAGTCCCCGCTTTGTGTGTTTTATATACGCTTCCCTTAAATAAACTGACGAAAGGAGTGCGAGTCTACCACATGTTCTCCATACCGTGTTTAGAACTGAGACTTCTGCTTGTTATATTTCGAACGGATTGCTGCTTCAAGACCCTGAACGCTGGACTTTTGTTATGAGGATTCTATAATGAGAGTGTAAATCCTGCTGTGTGATCATGTTTAAATCTACACAACGCTGCTGTGAGCGACACCCCTCCCTCAGGACACGATATAAATATTAAACCAAGCATCTGCTGGCTACTGTTTCACATGCATGTGGCATGACGGTCACGTTCACAGCGTGCCTTTGTTTCAAATATGTCCCATCCCAGCCGAACGCGTTGCTGCTTAGAATACACTTTTCAATCTTAAAATACTGTTAAATCCTGTAGTCAGCGAGTGGCTGCTGCTGCTGCTGCTGCTGTGGTCTGACTGCTCTAAAACAGCGACAAAATAGTGTCAGGAACTTTATGAGAAGGAAGAAGTTTTCCACCTCTGCAGAGAATTTGCTCTCCACTGAGACACGCCTGTGCTGGAGGTTGATCTCAATCTCCAGCAAATGTTGAATTCCCCTGAACATTAACCACCGAACAGCTGAATTCATTTGAACATTAACCAAACTTTTGAGCATTATATGCCCCAGCTGTGCTTCCTGTTCTGTTTATGTAGTATATCTTTGCAACTCTTATTGTTTATCCAGGAAGGTCAGCATCCTGTGCTTTATTGGATACTTTATCAAGACGTATCCTCTCCCTCTCTGTGCGCCGTTTCAACCCACCCGCCTGTGCCTGTGATCTCTCCTTCTAGGTTGACAGGTAATGAACCGTTGTCTATCCTGCCACTGAACTCTCTACCAGAGGAGAACGTGGGCAGGGCCCACTACAAGCTGTGCGACCGGCTCAAACTGGAAAAGAAGCAGCGCAGGATGTGCAGACGAGACCCGGGCGTGGCGGAGACCCTGAGAGAGGCCATCACCATGAGCGCCCTAGAATGCCAGTATCAGTTCCGCTTCGAGAGGTGGAACTGCACCTTAGAGGGGCGCCACCGAGCCAATATACTAAAAAGAGGTACGGACAGACGAATGTGTTTTCCTTGGAAACAAATCTGATATGTGCATTGTGCTTACTGCCTGTCTTTTTCGCCTCCAGGATTTAAAGAGACAGCCTTCCTGTATGCCATCTCCTCAGCCGGGCTAACCCACGCGATGGCCAAAGCCTGCAGCGCGGGACGCATGGAGCGCTGCACGTGTGACGAGGCCCCCGACCTGGAGAACCGCAAAGCCTGGCAGTGGGGAGGCTGCGGAGACAACCTCAAGTACGCCAACAAGTTTGTCAAGGACTTCCTGGGCAAACGCTCCAACAAGGACCTGCGTGCACGCGTGGACATGCACAACACGAACGTGGGCATGAAGGTGAGCGACACCATCACACTGCACCACGGGAAGTGAAGCGTCCAGTGTTTCTGGAGCTTCAGCCTCCGTACAGACAGAAAGTCGGAATGTCTTCTGCAGCACGGTTCAACATTCTTGCTTTAATCTGTTTCTTGTGAGTCCCCCAGCCACATGGAAGTACAATACTTCACTGGTTATCATCGCTCGTCTGTGACAGCAGCCGTGTTTTATAGCTAACAATTTGTCCAAAGCCTTAAACCATGACTCAGCGTGACAGCTGTTCATGTACACAAAAGTTTTAGGGAGTTACACTCGAAGATAATCGCGCGATAATGTCACAGCCGTATATTTGCCACAACTGTCAGTTTAATTTGCCTTTTATTAAAGCAATAATTTCCACCAGTGAAAACAAAAAACACTTGAGTTACAGCGAGCACATGAATCTAACTCGTTAAGAAACCGGTCTGAACGAGGTCGCAGGTCACAGACGGATGTGCTGCTCCCACGAAACGGCCAAATGGTGGGAAATCTGTAATTATGCAAGACTGGGCGCAGATGTGTAGACAAACAGCAACATAAAGCACCGATTTGTTGTTCACCTTGACCTGAATATACCGTCATATCTTGAGTTTAAACATCACAGCGCTGGTAAGACGAGGAGCTCCGTCTGAATATATAGTTTAAAGAGGAATTTAATACTGATTGAGTTAAAGAAGGGGCTCCTGGAAGAGTGGAAGCATCTCCAAGAAACCTAAACTGATTAAAGTAATTGCTACTGTAAATCTGGTAAAATCCGAAAGCGCTCATTAGCCAATATTTGGTTTAGTGTCTCAGATTAGATAGGCAGCGACTCTCATTTGTTCTCTGGCGCGATTCAGCCATTGTTTGTGGTGAGCAAATATGGGTTTTTCATCTTGGACGTGTTTTTTTACAGCGAAATCAAGGAGAAAAAAAAGGGAAAAAAACGAAGAGGGAATGGTTTTAATCTGTCAAGCCAAAGTAAACTAAAAGTCTGGAATATGTTTCTCTTACTCTCCTTCTCTCCGATTCTCGCCGTTTTCATTTTGGTTTCAAAATGAATTATGGCAGAGGCACACTTCCCAAATGTTAGCAGACACAAAACTCTCCCAGAAGACCAATACGTGCTCTTCCTTTTCAGCTTGGCTCTACAAAATCCAATCTCTCCGGAGATTTTATTTGTGATAAAAGATTTACAACATTGTTTTTGCTCCCTTTTTTTTTCCCCCCTCCGCTAAATGCACATGTAGTGAGGTGTACCGCCGCGTTCGCTCAAGACGAATTCCCACACGGAGGACGAGGCTGGAATGTGCTAGCCTCTGCATCCCCCCGACATTTTAAAAGCTGACCTATCAAATTTTCTTGACCTGCTGGTGTGATGAATATGCACTTCCTGCTCCCCGATCTCTTTCGCAGTCTGAGAAAGAAATGTAGAGTCTATCCAAACCCCATCGAAGACAATGTGTTATTGTCATTGATTCTCGCGCACGTACTGCTTTAAACATTGTGGTCGATGCAGAAATGAACTCTGGCTGACCGCTGAGGGGTCAAGTAGTGTTAAAATAACGTGTTGTGGTCTGTTCGGCTGACAGTCTCTGTGTTTTCATTTACAGTTATGTCCGATTTAGTATAAGAAAAAGCCGTCTGTGCTGCTCCGTCTTTTCCCAACTGTTTGCATGACTTCACTCTGTGTTATGACAGAATGACCACACTGGAAGATTCGGTCGATCCGCTCCGGGTTTAGAAAACACATTTACAGTCAAAGGACAATTATAGTGCCTGGTGTCCAAGTATTAAAGGCTTCTGGTTCCCATGGCTGTCTGAATGGATCGTCTTTGTGGGCACTTCTCAGCTATAACCTCCCCTCACTTACCATAATAACTGTAACTGAGTTTAATCAAAATTTCATCCGTGGTTATAACAAAATCAACCCTCCCACCAACTATTATTCACTTGATCTTTTATATGAAGTCTGAGACAAAGTCCTATATTGTTCTCCTTTAGTTCACAAGCAGAACCTTGGAGTTTCCCTTTTATTATGATATAAAAAGAACAATGAATGTAATAATTTCCCATTATATCTATATACCACTGGGCTCCACCCTGTTCATCTAATTATGAGCATATTTGGGTAAATTGGTTCTTTCAAGTGCTGCTTACCAAACAGAGGCTTGTTAAATTGCACAGCTTTCATTATGTGCCTTTAATGTTTCTCAGCAGTGAACAGTGTTGCTCTGTCTCCGACCAGGTAATCAAGGCTGGAGTGGAGACCACTTGCAAATGCCACGGCGTCTCTGGCTCCTGCACCGTCCAGACCTGCTGGAGGCAGCTCCTGCCCTTCCACGAGATTGGAAAGCAGCTGAAGTCGCGCTACGAGGCCTCCGTCAAGGTCGGCAGCTCCACCAACGAGGCCACCGGGGAAGGAGAGATCTCCACGGGCCGCGGCCAGCAGCAGCAGCAGCAGCAGCAGCCGCCGCAGCAGCAGCAGCCCTTACCCGGCCTCAACGATCAGATCCCCCGCACTATGGACCTGCTCCACATCGAGGACTCGCCCAGCTTCTGTAGACCCAGCAAGTACTCATCGGGCACTGCAGCACGCAAGTGCTACAAGGACAAGAACTGCGACGCAATCTGCTGCGGGCGAGGCCACAACACTCAGAGTCGGGAGGTGACCCGGCCCTGCCAGTGCCAGGTGCGCTGGTGCTGCTACGTCGAATGCAAGCAGTGCACACAGAGAGAGGAGGTGTACACCTGCAAAGGGTAAACCGGCCACCCGCCAGCGCCTTCAGTCAGCGGAGCGCGTGGAAGGTGGTTGTGTTGAAGAGGAGCGATCGTTTTGTTCTCATGCAAGGTTTTGCTTCCAGCGTCGGAACAGCGTTCTGCAAACAAAAGAGGAGCGAGCCGAGAAGCAATAAGCACTTTGAGGGATTTCTGTGGGTTGGGTTTCGGAGGTCCTGCAGAATGAAAACTTTCTCAGACAACTGGGTCAACATCTCAAGCTTTTTATCACAGCGTTGCCTTGAAGAGAGATTTTACTTTCCTTTTTTAAACAACATCCGTCATGAGAAAACAGCTTAGCGTCCAGTTAATGAGGATCCGACGTAAAGACAGCGACACCAACAGACTGACTTCTGGGGCTCTGCCCAAAGAGGAATGGAGTGTGTGTGTGAGTGAGTGTGTGTGTATGTCAACCTTTACATGTGTGTGTTTGTCAATCTTTACATGTGTGTGTTTGTCAATCTTTACATGTGTGTGTTTGTCAGCACGTGGTAGAAAGTGAGGCGGAGTGGAGTTCGAGTGACGACTTTTTATGGCAATGAAACCATATTCAGAGACTGCTAAAAAAACAAAAGACAGGGTGTAAGAATTACTCTACACGCACATATTTACACTCACACACATTGTGTGTTTGCATATGTATGTAAATAAATTCAGTTATATTGTAATGATATTATATAAGCCACTTATCTAACTATGTTAAAACAAACCACTAACCACACAAATGTTTTGTTGTTTGTGTGCTCGTTTCTCTTTTTGATTCATGTTGACAAGGCCCTTTGGAAAGCAGCACACTTGTGTCTGATGTCTTGCTGTGGATAATTTATAGATCCTTTGGGACTACTCCTTCACCGGGAGAAAAGAAATCTCATTTTTTCTTTTGTTTAATAATAATATAATATGAAGCTGTTAGTAAATGCATTAACAGAAAATAACTAAACCAGTCAGTTTAGGCTATTCTCGGCCTTGAGCGAAGCAGAGTTCAGGGAATAACTTAAACCACTATATCTGTTTGGATAAAATAGAAAGAAATTGTGCAAATGCAAACGTAATCCAAGTTGGAGATGACAGCGGCCTTGTTTTTATCAACAGGTGATCAGCAGACGGTCCACGTGTGACTCAGATCTAAATTTGTGGAGCTCTGTGGAGCTTAAATCTACTTAGAAGTTTCTTCTGAATACTTTGAAGTCGTAAAGAAAACTGTGGAGAACTGGAGGAATGTAACTCCCTACCATTTCATATCCGTCTTTTCCTCTTCAGCTGCCACGATCACATTGAGCCATATTCAACATATAGACACGCAGTGTGTACAGTTCAAACAGTACGGAGCAACCGAGGCTGGAATCTAACTTGTCTGCAGCTTAGCTCGAGTGGAGATGAAAGCAAAAGCCTCGTAGCTAATATAAATACATCTTATAAGACTAATATTTGTGTAATGTTCTGTAAATTGTGTCCAAATGTAAACCGAAGAGTTTCGCTAATCTGCTGTCTTCTCTCCGAAGTCAGTCGAGTTGCTTTTTTATACACGAGTTAATTTGCTTTTGCCTGGAATCGAGTGACAACGCAGCGCACCACGCATCGACAGGGACACGTTAAAGGAGCAGGTCGACGTGTTAGGAGTTGCTTTCGATGAGAAAGTCGGTGTTCTTTGTGTGAAAATCCGCCCATCAGCACCTTTAAAGCTCACCGGTTCACATGTTGCGTCTCGTTTGTTAACCACAACTTGTCATTTTTGCTCGTTTCGTACACATTAAACAAACAGTTTGGTGGTTAAAGGTGCTGGAAGGTGGATTTTGTTAGCCTCATTAGTTTATGCTAAGCTAACTAGCTGAAAGATATGATGTTGTCATCTAAAGCCCAACATGTCAAACTGTTTCCATAAAACATTCATACAATATTATGATAAATGCTTCTGTACACACCAGCGATGCAGACACTAACATGTCAGCGTATTCTCAGCACTTCTGGGAACACTATGTTATATATATTATAAGATATAGGACCCTATATGCCATATTTTACATTGGTGTGAATTAACTACTGAGTGAGGGACCCAGCTTTGTATTATAGCACCATTCACGCACTGAAGCCCAAAAGCCCTTTAAAGTATTTAAAGATCTGTATTTATGGATACAGTGCAGTGCAGAATCTTTTTTTTTCTTTTTTTAAAAAATGTAAATAGCAAAGGTTTCTTCTCCTGTGGTATAGAGACAAACGTGAGGCACATGTTCAACTCTCACAAGCATCTGAAGCAGAAAATTGACAGAAAATTTAAAAAAAACGGTCGAAGCATTTGTGGAAACAGATGCTTTTGCGCTCTAATCATCAATACTGCACATCCAGATGCTCTTAAAACTGACAGTTTAGTGCTCGAAAGTGATTATCGCAGCAGTTTAAACTAAAAACCGCCACCTCTGACGGCAAAATCACGCTTTAGGACGAGAACCCTGCGTGGCTTATTTGTCCTGAGGAGATGAATTCCAAGCATTTTGATATGAGAAGGCACGCCAAATAAAGACTGGTCAAAACATATACATAGAACTTTGCACGCTACATGGAAACCATAATAGCTATGCTGAGACTCAAAGCATAAATGCCTGCTTCCCACAGCTTCTGGTGTGTGCTCGCTCCACACACTGCTCGGCCCAAACACAGCGACGTTCTCTGCTGTTGAATGGATTTAAAACAGACATGACAGGAATACCAAATGCACGCAGAGTGCATTTTTGTTTGTTTATAGATTGTACATAGACCTAAAAAAATTTCTCCCAAGGAAGAGGAGCATGATGCAGCAGCAGCAGCAGCAGCCGGACGCTTTTCTAGATGTCACCGTATTGTCAAACCCAACACTCTGCACTGTTTAGTCGTCAGTGGATCATGTACAAAATTCTATTTTGTAGAGAAAAAAATGAAAGATAAATTATTTTTAAATATATTATGAGCATGTGTTTAGTGTAAATAACGTCAAAGTCTAAATTGATTTTATATCCTGTATTTTTTACTCTGTGTTTCTTTCGGGTGTTTGTTCCTTCTGGGGTGGAGGCTTCATGAAGCAGTGTATCCTATCAGCGTATTTCACTTCATATCTCAACGTCGTCTGTTATCTAAGCACTAACAAATCCTAACGAACTTAGAATCGACTCACCTGTAGCTGTCCTTTACTCATTCACACGACGAGACGTTTCTGAAAGTATTCAAACAAAATCACAGTCATCACAAATGTTTTTTTTTTTTTTATAGGATTTGATCTGTTTGTATAATCAACTATTTTTGTGAAAAGAGTCTTGACTTTGTAATGTTGGTTGCCGCCGCGTACACGGCGGTATGAGCTGATGGTTGCATCAGTGCGGACTGATTTCTACTCACCTTTGGGTCACTTTACATGTACACGTACTTTTTGTTAGGATTTGTGCTGTGCCTGTAAAACAAAGATAAAACACGCCAACCATGTATTGCCCTTTGTGATGATATTACACCAACAAAGCTTTGTCCATGTTCACTTATTCATGTCTTATGGGAACTCTAAATTATTTTCCTCTACCTCATGTGTATAGCTTGTAGGTATAAACAGATCACAAATGACTGGTAAGAATGTATTTAAGTTATTTAACATCTTTGTATAACAAAGGCGAAAAAAAAAATCTGAAATAATAAATGAATTTTTAAATTATTTCATGTGTAGTTTCATTATTCGGTGGAGCCGATCAGTAGATCACACCCTGAGTTAAGTCGTTAGGCGACGATAAAACTGAAATAATCATCTTTCGTTGGTCACGCTGTGTTGAAACAGTCAATCAGCAGAAGATTTATTGTAAACTGATTAATATAATGAGTCATTTATGAAATCAAAAGCCAAATATTAATAGTATTTGCATATTTTTTTTAAAGGTTTGCAGAAGTTAGTTTCAGATTTATTACTATACAAATGCAGCAATTTTAACAAAAACTGAAATTGTGAAGTTGGGCTTTAGAAAAGTAGAATGTGTTTGTTTTTTCTGAGATATAAACAAATTCACAACATTTGAGACATTTGTTATATTAACTAAATGATATTCAAAGGAATTGCTTGTTGCAGCAAATCTTCAAGTTTCCTCATAAATTTAAAAAAACAGCTTCTACAGCTCTATCAGGTGCTTTCCAGGCAGTGGTTTTGTTTTGCCAAAGTGACATAAAAAAGAAGAAAGAAGAAGTTTAGTGAAGTGGATCTGATAGGAGCACATCCAAAAGGATCACAACTCCTGGAAATGTATCAACAAACTCATTCAAGATCATCAAACTTATCTCAGGGTGAATCACACCTGAGTGTGGCTGTGGAGGGCCAGGTAGACATTAATCCAGGGGTGTCCAATCCTGGTTCTCGAGGGCCACAATCCTGCATGTTTTAGATGTTTCCCTCTGATTCAAATGATCAGGATCATTATCACGCTTGATGATGAGCTGATCATTTGAATCATGTGTGTTGGAAGAGGGGAAACATCTAAAACATGCAGGACTGTGGCCCTGGAGAACCAGGATTGGACACCCCTGGATTAATCCATCCATTAATCACAGGGCTGGTTCCTTCTGTGCACATGTTGAAGTGTCCTGCATGAAGACACTGAACACAAGATCAAAATCTAAATGGCTCCTGACTGGGCTGACATTGTGGTTGCTTTTGGTTTTTGAATATTAGTTTATATGAAAAGTCCAACTGAGTTCAATTTATTTCACTTTAAATCATGTGTGACCGCAAATTTTACACCAACATCTCAAATATTGTATAGAAAAGCAACAGAAACGTGTTTTTCCTCGATGCCCCAGCAGCAAATCAGACGTGAGAGCAGCGGGAAGTGACCAGAAGTAGTCATCCTGGGAGAAACGCCCGAGGCCCGTGTCTTTGCGGAGGAGTAGCGAGTGAAGCAAAAAGGTTTTCCTGCTGCGTAATGAGACGTCATTGCTGAGGTTAAGTGTTTACAGGAACCTGATACGGACGTTTCTGGATCTTCACAGATTCATGCAGGATCACCCTCACTCTGCTATGACAGTTTATATTGATTTAGAGTAAACTGATTATCAAGGCCTCCGTCATGTTACACTGCGCGTTAGCAGAGCAGCCATGTTTCTACGTCAATGTCAAAGTTACCGTGAAACTTATTAGCGCGAGATGTAAACATCTCTGCTTTGGGTTAGACGCACACACGAGCCGGAGAATTACCCCGCTGAACCGATATTATTTCAACAAGCTGCAGCCCCCTCAGCACACGAGTGGAGATTTCAGAGTGTTTTCTTTCAACAGTCTTGCAAATATCTTGAGGCCTCATCATAAAAGCCCCAAAGCACGATTAATCCCAGAGAAAAGGGGCTTTGTGATCCCGGCCTGCGAATAGGAGCTTCACGTCCAGTTGTGAAAACAAAACACAATTACGAGTGTATCTGTTCTAATACCTAAAACATCAGTGGAAAAGCCCACCATATCCCCGACACGTGTACCGAAATTAGCAGTGCAGGAGCAGCACCCTCTCGGTGTTAGCTATTCCTCCCCTGGGTCCTAGCTGCTTTGCTCAGAGAAACTAAGAGGCTTTAATGTACCCCGCTTGCTGGACTCCTCCTAACATCCTGTACCAGCCTCTAATATGAACTGTAACTCTGCGGTCCGCTGTAATCCGACAACGTTTTGACAGCTGTTACCATGAAGGAAGTGGGTGCAACTAAAGCACAGACTGAAAAAAAAAAAAAAAAATCAACACCCCCTCCCCGCCTCCCACCGCTCACCTCCTCCTGACTACCTTCAGCCCCGCTCTCATCCTCCCGGTGTGCTCGGACATGTACGGGGGGTTTGTGGCTGTCAGGCAGAGAGGGCGAGATTATTTCTGAACTGCTGAAAGTGGCAGAGGATTTGTTATTCCTGCATCACCCCACTGCACAGGATGTATTTGTGCTGCCTTGCAGAGGATTTGCTGAGAAGCTGATTGTGGTGTACGGTAGCTACATGGGATGGTGCAACCGGATGACATTCTCTGAGAAATGACGTTTTTATACAACTAAGCTGCAACAGCAAATACGCACATGAACATATTCACAAACTTATCGAATCTGTCAGTAATTATGTTCACTGCAGCAAAACCCCTCAGCTAAGGTCCGCTGCATGAGTCGTAAATCTTCTCATTTTCTTGCAGTTCAGCTCGTTTTCATTGTATATTTTTCCTTTAAAAATCGTCTAACTTTAAATTAAGGTTTGCAAAAATATAAGATTCGAGGGTAATTAATGGGAATCCAAGCATCAGGTCCTCAAAGACCAACGCATTGGTTCAAACTTATGTGCCGAGCGCTATGAAAACACCTTAGCTCATGCCACAGGTCTGTGTAACTCACAGATTTATGATTTTTTTTTTTTTTTTCAGCGTGTTGGGAAAAAGCGAGTTCCTCTCTGGAAAGTGTGATAGGGGTCTGAAGAGTATGTGCCTTCCTCGCCTCCTTCCTGCGCCCTGCCCAATAGCTTACCTTGTTTATAACTGTTTTTGATTGTTGTTAAGTGCATGTCAAAGCTCCTGCTTGTCCCTCGTGCCTGGAAAAACATGTGAGCTCAGCATCTCCTCAAAACAGCAGCGAAAATGCATCGCATTAAGGAAAAATACTTAGTGCACTGTATATATGTGGTGGTGAGGATCCACGGCGCAGACAGGGACGACTTTGTTTGAATCCGTGTGCAGGCTGTCAGTCAGGATGAGTGAAGGTTCTTAGAGACACGTTTCATTTACGCCTCAGGTAGCAGCAATATTAATTCGATAAAGATTACACAGCTCAGATGATCAAACAGCACGACGAGCAGCGACCTGTCATGTGTCCTGAATACGTCCTGTGACACGCTGTGAAAACTATCAGTGTGTTTTTGCTCCGTACTGGAGGTCTCTGGGTTTTTTTGTCCTGTGACTGGGGAGAAGGCTCATTGACCATGACTGAGGCCTCTCCACAAAATGCGATGGATAATGATGATAACTGGCTCAGGAGGTTTTCAACACTTGCTCACAATCATAAAAACGTCAGCTTCACATGACAAAGCTCATTTTTCAGAAAACCCTGCTGCACTCCTACCCAGGAACAAATGAAGAATCCAATATGGCCAATAAATTGTCCCAAATCTGAGCGGACCTGAGTTGACATTCTCCTTCCGGAAAAAATCGAGCGATAAACAAACAAATTATTCTATAAATAATAATAGAGCATGTGTTTCTTTCATTGGCAAACATGCTTGAAGAGTGGGGAAAGCCCCCAGAGACCCCATAGCGGGCTAAGGCGATGGGATAAACATAGATCTGTGTAGACGCCTGGGCTTTTTGGCAAGCCTTCTGCGCCTGCGATTGCACCAGGAGAATTGGAGCGCTTGCCAGGAGAGGTGCAGGGTTAGAAACATTTTATTCTTGAGGAAATTCCTCCTATTACTCCATTATTCATCAGAATCTCTGAGGAGATGGATGCTCTAACTGCTCTAGCAGAGACTGTTTTCAGGAAAACAGTTCATCATGGTAGATATCCCAGACAAGAGAGTGTTCTGATGTATCACCAGTAGGATGTATGCGATGGACATATACTCCTCAGTCCATCAATTTGTTCAGACAGTAAGTACTTTGGAGATCACTGGATGGATATTCAATACCATAACTACACGGCATTAAATGTCAGCGTAGAGCAGCCATTTACTATTGTGAAGGAGAAATTTCCTTCCACCAGGTCACCACCTGTTTTGTGCATCAGGGATGTATGAAATATTAACAACTTGGACAAATTGTGGGTTTTGTTTTTCCCCCCAAAATGTTGATGTTATATAAGCACATAAGGGAAAGTTGTGCAGCTTCGGGTCGAGGAGGACCTGGAAGTTTCTATCAGCAGCTGCGCTGACCTACGACCGCTCGTTTGTGTCTGTGTGTGTGGGGTGATGTCGGGGAAATTAGTTGTGGTGTGTCAGTTGGAGGAGGGGGGTTACAATGGCATGCTGATGAAAGCACGGGGGTTTACAGAGATGGGCCACGAAGCTGCTGTCCAGCTCATGCTTCAATTGTGCAGTAAAGATTCCCCAGCTGTCCTGAGGATTAGCCCGTGTGCTTATGTGATTAGGATACATGGCACCGTGGCTAGACCAGGCGCCTCTGACCCGCAGAATGTAGAATGAGATGAGATGGGAGGAAAAAGGATGGCCGGGGTGATGCTGTGGAGGCCAGACACACCCAGCATAAAACCGGGGTTTGTTGAGGTCATGAGAGGGCGAACTGCCTGTTGCTACCTTTAGTCATGAAAGGCCCATTGATTGCAGCGTTTCAGCGCTCGATGAACATGTTATGTATTACCAGATGAGCTGAGTAATGGTGGAAAGACTGGCCCAGTTTGGGTAACATTACTTAACAGCCGTACTGGTTAGCATCCACACCGCATAAGTGCAACATCCTCCGTCTTTTCTTTCCTTCTACTACCAAATGGAAACCAAGAGCACTGCGTTGAGCATCAGCCAATATGGTCATGTTCATATTATTTCATTCACTTCCTTGTAGGGACTGGCTTGTGATTGGTTGTGAAAAAGGCTTCGCTTTCTGCTCCATCCGCTGGCACTGAACCCTCTGAACACAACAATCTCATATGCAGCTGGTCTTCTTTGTGGATTTTGAATTGTGAACCTGTAAAATAAAGGATGATCAAAAA